GGCCAGTCATGATATCTCCCTGGACCTGCAGAACAATTATATACTAAGTTCTCAAAGTGTGGTGCCTGGACAAAAAGCACCAGTATTACCTAGGAACTTGTTAGAAATGCAAATTTTGAGGCCCTACCCTAGAAAAATGAGAAACTCTGGGCATGGGGCCCAGAAATCTGTCTTTTAATAGATTAAAGCCCTCCAGGTGATTTCAATGCATGATAAAAAGTAAATATTTATGTTTTAATAGGGTACAATATCTTCACCCAAAGAAGTATATTTTTGATGGTGGAATTCAGATGATCAAGGACAAAGGGAAGTTATTCCACTGTCCTCAGATTATAGCACTAAGTAACTCCATCTACGCATAAAATGAATCTTGCTTGGGGTCCAACTGCTAAAATAAATCATTGAAGGCTGCAACAATCAGATGGTAGGCAAGTAAGAGTAGGTATAGGTACATAGAAATAGGTTGGGAAAAGCTTGGTTTCAGTTTATTGAGGTAGGGAGAAGACTGAAAAGAAATTTGCCACTTTTTTGCAAACACGAGCAAGCTTTGTTCTTTTTCCCCTCTATCTTTTTGCATTTGACCTTGAATGATTATGAAAATGGCTACAAAGCCTCTAAAAATTAAAGCTCCTTTTACTACAAAGGAATATTTATGCAGTAGTTCTAATGTTGAGCTTAAATTGAACTGGATTCCAGATGGCATACTGTTATTAACTTTCTTGGTGGTTTTATATAAATGAATTAATTTTGTCCCCTAATTTCTCTTTCAATTGTAGATATTTTCAATCTATAGGTATAATATGGGAATAGATAACATTAGTAAAAACTATTGGAAAATGTTTTTAATAATACTTTAAGTTACAATGATGAATATCAGTGTGCATATTACACTGATGTAGCATAAGTATGTTCTTTATCTTGTGTTTTTACGCAGATAGCACTTGTTAAATAGATTACCTAGGCAACCCTAAGGGATTATATGAATTATATATTAGTTAAACTACCACTGTGGTTGAGAGTTTAGGCATTATTTTCAGCCCTTGTTGTACATTGCAATAATATAGAGATGAAAAATGTATAAATATAAATGCACAATCTTGTCAACAAGAATAAAATGCGTAAGTGACACCAATGGCTGGTTGTTTTGTGGGAAGCAGTCCCGTCCCCTCCATTTTTTTTGTGGGAACATGTGGCTGGCACACAGTAGTAGGCTTATAAATGGAATCATTGAATATTTTATTAAAAGTAAACTAAGCAGAAAGTGTTTTGTTCATCGTTAGTTAAGGATGTGAGTGACATTTAACTCTGGGAAGATAAATTGGAGGAAGTGGTTGACTGTCTGAGGATCCATGAGGGTTTTGCATAGGCTCTGAAAAGTCCAATTTGAAAGTTCTGGGATTGCACTTTTACCTGCTTCTGAAGGTGTCTTTCAGCATTAAAGTGCAGTTTGAGGACTAGGGAGGAATGAGAAGAACACCCAGTTTCTCTGAAACTGGCAAAGAAGTGACTAGGGCTCTGTGACTGCCCTTAATATCTCACAGGGAGCTCTGATCAGCAGCTTCACAAAAGGGTCCAAAGCTACTGACACGTGGGTGACTTAGAGTAGTCAAACCGGCACTAGTTTATGTCTGATCTATCTTGTGGCATGGTGACTCTTTTTTTTTTTTTTATCTGGCATTTTCCTCCTAATTCTCGCAAAGCACAATGCAAATATTTATTAATCTCAACATCTGGCAAAGAGGATACCAAAAAAGTGTATTTTATACGTCGCAAGTGGGTGGACTGGGTGTGCTATAAAGAGATTTAATGATCTCTTGCACTGAAGTCCTCTGTTGTAACCACCCTATGGTGCATCTATGTCATAGCATAGGCAGTGTGAGAGAGGAAGCAGAATTTGACTTTCCAATCAGAGAGATCTAGGTTTGCATCCCTGACCAACCAACTAATTAACCTTGTGGCACTGCATATGTTACTTAACCCTTCTGAAGCTCAGTTTCTTCATCTGTAAAATGGACACAATGTTAGCTTGTTGTAAATGTTAAAAATGCTGTGTTAACGTGTCTGCCTCCCTGCAAATTCTCAATACTGAATAAAACTTATAATAGTTATTTTATCTTTAATTTTATCTGTTATGCCACCTGAAGAGAAAATGCCCTCAAATTCTGGCCTGGGGCACTGGGCATTTGCTGTTTTCAGTAGGATTTCTCAGCTGGGCATAGGTCATAGTCCTGAGTTGACTTTTTTAACCCCTATGAACAAATTATAACAATGAAAAAATTCCAATTTTTTCTAGGATGTTTTTGTTAATTTGTGTCAAGCTCTTAGCCAGATCTTTTGCAAGATTCCTGTGATAGTTTTGAAAGAAAAAATTCATTTCATATTTACAGTTGACCACTCACATTTTATGTATTATGTGAGCAATATCTGGGATTAACATCTATTTATACAGTTAATTATTTTTTTAAAGCCAACAGATGACTCTTGCTGGCACTCTTCTGAGGTGACTTGGGCCAGGTCTGCAGGGTGATGTCCCTGGGCTGTTCCTGCCCCTCACAGCCTCCTCTGGTGAAGCAGGCCCTGCTGACCTCTGCTGGGTTCCCTGGGGTGGGGATATTGCCTGGCCCTCTCTTGCTCCCTCTGGCCTGTCCCCTCTGCCTGGCCTAATCCAGCTGCTTCCCATTCATTTCCTGGCTTCATAGCTTGCAGAAGGCTTGGGAATACTTCCCAAGTGAGGCAGTGATCAACATTCTCCACAGCTGGAGGTTTTCCTGCCAAATAAGAGTCTTCCTCTTACAGCATCCCCCACCTGTCTGCAGCTGAATAGCTTCTGGATGTGTCCATGGCAGCCGGAGCTCAGAGCATGTGACACAGCCCAAGCTGAATTCCTGCCCAGGTCAAACGGCACAGTCCATTCAGGGCCCTGGAAATCCCCCGCCCCCTTCAGCCTGAGGGAAGAGCCATCTAAGCAGATTTCTGTGTGTTCCTCTTCTGCTCAGCTCCTATTTCCCCAAATGAGAGCACTAAGGAAGGTCAGCAGAGCTTGGAATCAGCTAGCCAAGGTTAAATCATGGAAAACACCAGAGGCCCAGACAGGAAATAGGGACCAAGAGTTGTTTCAGAGAGTTGATAAAAACAGGATTGGCTGAACCCTCAACCCTGCAAATAAATGGAGGGTGCTGAGGCCTGGTAGGATTTTTGTACCTCTCCCATGTCCTCCACTGGCTTTGCACAGTGCTTGAAGGTTTAGTTCCTAGCCCAGCTTCCTCTTTCCAGTAAAAGCAGGGTGTGGTGCAGCATTTTCCAGAGTGTTCTGTGCAACACTAATCCCCCAAGATGCTCCTTGAGGAAAGGTTTCCATGGTTGAATAACATTGTGCAATGCTGTGCACTGTGGCTTGCTCAAGAAGACCGTGACGGAGTGCGTTCATGAGGTAGAGGCTCTTGGAGGTTCTGCTGCATCCAGAGGCTGGGAGAGTTAGTGGGTCGCCGAATGTTTCTTTCAAGTAACACCTAATAACGACCAGTAAAACTAATGTTCATGGACAGACTCTTCCTTAAACCGCCAAGTACACACCCACCTCAGGGCCTTGGTCCTTGTTGTTCCCTCTGCCTGGAAGGCTGTTTCTCTGGATATTTGCATAACTAATCTCAGTTCATTCATGCTTCCACTCAAGAGATATCTTCTGTGACTATCCTATCAAAAAAGGCCTCCTCTTTCACCCCCATTCAGTCACTTTCTGTTTATTCCCTCACTGCGCTTTATTATTTTTTTCATAGCATTTATAACTCTCTGGCTTTGCAGATCATTTATTTGTTATTATTTAAGAACTAACTTATTTTTGATAAATATATTGTAATTAAAATGGAAGCTTCATAAAGACAGAGACATTGCCTTGCTCTCTATGTATCTTCAGCTCTGGAAAGGCGCATAGAGCCAGGGTGGTATTCAACAAACTGGTGTTGAATGAACCAGTGAATAGTGGAAAAGAGCAAAGGATTTCAAGCAGAAAATCTGACATGGGTCCCTGACTCTACTACCTCTTTCTCTCTTGATGTGACCTTGAGCAAAACCCTTCATCACTGGGACCCTTGATTTCTTTATATAAGATAATGAGAAATAATACCCATCCCACCTATCTTAAATGAACATGAGGAGGATCAAATAAGAGCTTGGCTGTGATGGTGCTTCATAATCTGTCAGTGGGTGTCTTAATCCTTTCAGACTGCTGTGACAAAAGAGCATAGACCAGGTGGTTTATAAACAACAGGAATTTATTTCTTATAGTGCTGGAGACTGGGAAGTCCAAGACCAGGGTGCCAGCAGATCTGGTGTCTGGTGAGATATGGCTTCCTGGAATGTAGAACTCTTTGGTCTTTTTAATATGTCCTCACAGGACAGAAGGGCAAGTCAGGAGGGAGTTTTCTAGGGACTCTTACAAGAGCACTGATCTCGTTCATGAGGGCTCCACCCTCACGACTTAACCCCCTCCCAAAGGCCCCACCAGAAAATACCATTGCATTGAAAACTTGGTTTCAACCTATGGATTTTGGGGGGGGCACAATTATTCAGACCATAGCAGAGGCTAAGCAAATAGAGGTTGTTCTTATCAAAGACAATATGCAGAAAAGAAAAGGGAGGTAACCCTCATGGTAGAGATCAGATTCTCTGGGAGTGAGGATAGGTCATCTTGACAGAAGGGAGGGATAGGTAGGAAAAACCCAGAACACGTAATGCCATCTAGAGAGGAAAGACCCTTTGATACTATCCTCAATGGCAGGGAACCGGGAGGAGCCCTTTGGCGGGGCTTAGGAAGATGTACATGTAAAGGTTAGTGATTGCTACTGTGCCTCTGACATTTTGCTTTTCAAGCAAGTTTATCAAACCTGTATGGAAGCCCAATGGCATAAGTGTTGTCTAGTTTTATTTGTAAGGTCGCTGAGGCAGAGGGACTTTCAACACTGTGCCCAAGGCCATTTAGGAAGTGAGAGCCCAGATCTAAATGCTGATCTGAGGCTGTGTGACAGTGCTGTCTTGGCTGCCCTGGAGCCTGTTGGGGTCTGCTCCTTGCCCTGTTGGGAGGTGGCACAGCTAGGTGGGACCAGGGAGCACCTGCTGTCCTCTACCTCAGCTCTCAGAGGAAAGGAGTCTGAGCCATAAACTGACAAACATTGCTGAGACATAGGACCACCTGCTGGAGTTGCTTTTCAGTGGAGGGGTGCAGGATGAGGAAGGTAGGAAGTTGTTATGGTGTGGCACTGGTTAAGATTTTGTTATTGGAGGAAATGTGTAAATGTGCGGAAAATGGAAATTGTCGAGGCTGAGCTGTGTGGAGATGGCTGCTAGCCTTGTTTACAGTATTACTTTCTGTTTCTAGGGTTTATTCTCCTATCTTGTTTCTCTTTATTTTTTAATCATGCATTGATATTACTGTTTACATTAACTAACTATCTGTGTGTCTCCAACTGAGTCACCTAAAAATTATAAATGACTTCAGTACCAAGTCTGGAATTGAATAAATTAAATGAGATCTAATATTCTTCTCTGTGTTACCAATGTTTGCCTAATGAGGACTTAAATCAACTTTGAAAAACCTTAATTTATTTGGATACTATATTCAATAAAGTCTTCCCATCCAGTTTGGCTGTTAGAACTGATGTATGAAACTTGCCTCACTAAAGACACTGGGAAATTTGCCCCCCAAAATAGGGTTCTATGGTTGGAGACAAATCCTAAATATATTAGAATACAGAATAGTCAAAATCTCTGGGATAAAGTGAGCATGATTAATGCTATTTCTAGTCCACAGAACTCATTTTCCTTATAAGAGCTGTCAAAGTGTGAGTCTGGAGGGAAGCTTTGACCATATGTGTACAGAGGCAATTCTAAGAAATGATCCGGGTTAATTCAGCCCCTAAAATCTTTCACTCAAAATAAACTGATAACTGTTATCTCAAGGCGAGAATGGGAATGGGGAAATGCTTTTCTCTCATATGTTTTTTGAATACTGCTTTCAGTTTCTGTCAGTTCAAGGGGATGGATAGATACTCTGTGTGTGTGTCTGAGAGGGAGAGAGAGCATTCCAAGCTTTTCAAAACTACCCTCCTAGCTCTCTTCACTCATTTGTTCTTCTTCCAAGCGGGCCCGTGCACATTTCTGTTTCAGCATCACAACTCTGGGCTCAGCGTCATAGAATGAGCAGGGATGGGAACACCGGCAGCCAGCTCAGAAATTGAGTCTTGACTCCACCACTTTCTTCTGTCCTTGGCACATTTTCCAACTTTTTTGTCCTGTTTCCTCAGCTGCCGGTGGAGATAACAGTACTTATAGCTCACTGTTGTCTTGAAATAAATTCCTCTAAGATGGAGCCACTCTTGCATGGGTGCAGTAGGAACAAACTGAAACTTAGGTAACTTTTGTGTCACTGTAAATTCTCTGCTTGACCCCAAATGCAGGCTATCCAAGCAGCCATTCGCCAAATGCTGAGCTAACTCTGGGGCTTCTCATCCCAGACAAGGGTGGACTGAGTGGCTCTAGCCCATCAGGTAGTTCTTATTTTTGTCTTGTTTGTTCTTTATTCTTCATCCTGTAAAAGGTTCTAGTCTTCCGCCCCATTTGGCAGTTCTCTGAAAGCAAACTGTCCATTTGGTGAAGTGTTTTTCATTTGTTTGTTTAGAATTGTAAAAGAGCTGGTAAAACTGTCAGTATTGTCAAGGGATATGATTTTATATTTACCAAAATCAACTGAAAAATCACTGCAAAGGATTAAAGAATCCAGTAAATTACAGGGTATAAAATTACTATACAGCAATGAATAATTCATATAAATGATACCAGTTAAAAAGTATAGGGGATTGCTTCTTGGCCTTTTGGCTAAGATCAAGTGTAGTATCTGTTCTTATCAGTTTAATATCTGATACATTCTCTATCCCGGACAATACATCAAATGGATTTTGAAGCAGGGACATGGAACAGAGGCTTGCTTTGTCCCCTCCACACATCAGCCTGGTGTTGCAGTATCTCTGGGAACAGTCTACCCCCTTTGAGGGGGGGGAAATACAATGGAAAAGAAAACCACATCTGCAATTGCAAAAACAGTAACAAGTGGATAAATTGCTTAAGAATAAACTTAACAAAAAATATACATCTGTGTGAGGAAAATTTCAAAATGTTACTGGGAATGCAAAAGTAGGAATGAATACTGAAATATGTACCATGTTATTTGGTCAAAAAAAATTTATTAAAAAAAATTTTAAATTAAAGCCTTTTTACATTGAAGTACAGTTGATATACAGTATTATATTTGTTAAAGGTGTGGCACATAGTGATTTGACAGTTTTATACATTATGAAATGCTTACCATGGTAAGTGTAGTTACCATCTGTTTATCAGGTGAAGTTATTACAATATTATTGATAATCCGTGTGCTGTACTTTTTCATCCCTGTGACTTATTTATGTTATAATGGGAAGTTTGTTTCCCTTTATCCACCTCACCTATTTTACTTATCTCACCCCCAACTCCCTTCCCTCATGAAGTGTTAAATATAGTTTGTTTGTATTACCTAAATTGTCTTCTTTAATCATTTTAAAAAACAGCTGTCATGAAGATTATATGAGATAATGCATGTGGAGCATCTGGTACGTAATAAACACTCAGTAAGTATCAGTCAGGATTATTTTTACTACCAACACCTTCTGCATTCCCTATAAGGATATACCTTTCTTGATGGAAAGAACTATTTTACTCATCCTGTGATCCTCATGATATCTTATGTATAGTAGGAGTTTAATAACTGCTTATTTAATGGAATGGAATCCACATTATAATAATACTCAGTGTGTTGCCTTTGCCTTTGAGCTTCTCAAAGAAAATACCTATTATATTCAGCATGTCCCCTTTACAGACATTGTCAGGTGTCAGATTAGGTGATTCAACATTCCACTGCCCTAAAAATCAATTCACGGTATATTTCTCGAAAGCATAGCATCATGTCTAAACATTGCCTTATTTTTTTATTGTGTACTAGTTAGATTGGCTCCTTCTGTTCTGTGGTCTTCCCTGGAAGCTTGATTTTTATGAAGCTGGTAGAAGCCCTGGGTGCATGAAGACATTCACAGTTGGTGGAAATCAGATGAAGTTCTGCACAGCTTTGCTGAGAAAACTCATTTCTGTTTCCTCTGGGTTACATTCTTGTCGCCCGCTTTACCACAAGCTGGTGAAACAGCGGCAGAGAGAATCGATTGGGTGAGTCATCTCTATTGTTATTACTACCTTTGAAAGGCCTTGTAAATTGGTCATTTGCTAAAGAGAACTGGTTTAGAAACAGTACAATTATTCCCTGTCCATCTGGGACAAACAACTCTGTGATACCAAGTGCAGAAACCATTGAGGTCATGCAGATCAAGATTCATGAATGGCATTTCACTGCACAGAGGTGGCATGAATTGGCTGTCTTATTAAGAAGCGCTGTGATGATAAAACAGAATTAAAGTGAGTCAGAAATTACCAAGCAGGGATTAAGGAAGGACAGAGGGGTCTTGATCATGGCGATACAGGCCCAAATGAATTAATTCTCTAGGTGTTTGTTTTTAACAATTATGCATAAATGTTTGAATAATAATCACCACCCGAATTATGTGAAATTATACTCCTCTCAACTGTATAAAATGTTTATATGTGCCCATTGTCAACTGAGCCGAGGAACATGTAATGATGTGAAGCCCAAGACTTCAATGAAATGTTTCCATAAAAAAATGACAGGTTTTCTTTTACTTATAATTACTTGTCAATTCTAAAGGAATCAAATTCATATAACATACATTCACCAAGGCACTAGCTCCTGTTGTTTCAGTAAGCTAACCTCTATTTAGAAATTCCCTGTACCTTTCAGATAAATGTATTTCCTTCAGAAAAGCAATTTGCATAGCTTAAGTTAGAGTAGAAGCTGTTTCTAATGAAAGGAAGGAATTTGTGATGTCATATTGTGTGTGCCAATCCTTCAATTAAAAGGGGAGGACCAGAAAATGGTTATGCCGAGCAACTTAAAAAGAAATATATCAAAAGATCGTTATGCATGGTCACATTCTGCAGCAAAATATAATCCTATAAAAAGTAAAAAGGTCTGCGCTTCCGTGTAACTTGGCTTGGAAGCCAACAGTGACAAACCGCGCAGATCAACAGCCTCCTCTT